TACACCATCATTTTTGGCGCCGACCGTGGGACCGTTAAGGTTTCTTCTCCTAAACACAAACCTACCCACCAAAACACCACTCGAAATGTCTTCCAGCCAACAAATCAACGCTACTTCCGCTCAGGTGCAGGCCACCAACGAGGGAGCCAGCATCCCTGTGGCTGCTACCATACCGGTCATTTCAGCCCCGGTGTTGCCTTTAGGTCTGAGCTCTGTCCCGACGGCCAGCGTGATCAGTCCCTTCGTGACCCCCGTCCCTTCCGCTGGACCGAGGGTAACGTTCCCGCCAAGCATGACTCAGTTCATGAATGACCCAGCCAACCTACAAGCCATCCAGGGCTTTGGCCAGGTCATGGTCATGTGCCAGTAGAACGGGGGGATGCCTTTCCTCCCTGATATGTTCCCAGTCGCCCTTCCAGGAGCGGGGACCATGCCCCTACAAGCTCCGATGGCGGTGACGTCGTTCCAGACGCCGATGCCGCAACCATCACCTTTCCAGCCCCAGCTGGTCAGCACCATGGCCCCTGTCAACTTGGCCGGTGCACTTAACGCTACAGGGCCGTCGCGTCCCCCGCAAGCTACGGATCCGCAGATCACTCCTGATGGTCATTGCGTCTCGATTGAGAGTGATGACGGCGAGTGGGACATCCCAAGGGCCCACAAGAAGAAGAAAGGAAAAAACATCCGGCCAGCGATCTCCCGAAACTCCGCCTTCGAAAGGCTGGGGGATAGGGAGGAAGGCCAGAGGAAGTCAGCCAAGCAGAGGCTGGGGCAGAGTGTTACCCACGTCAGCGCGTTCGCCCGGCTAGGCAAGGTGCGGGAGGCCGAGCCAGCCCGCACCCGGCGCTCCCGGTCTAACCGGCAGGAGCCAGCGAGGACGAAGGCCTCCCACCAAGAAGGGGAGGCAGAGAGCCAGCCCAGGTTACCGGTGGCGAACCGGTTAACCATCCCAAACGACCGCGTCCAGCAGATGGAGGCAAAGCTGGAAAGGCTGGAAAAGAAGGTCGGGGAGAAGAATGACCGGGACAAACCCCTGGCAGGGTCCCCGTTCACCACAAGGGTCCATCTGACACCTTTCCCGCGAAAGGTCAAGATCGACGCCCCCAGAT